TATAATATGTATGTTGTGTGTGTGAGTGAGTGTGTGAGTGTGAGTGTGTGTGCGTGAGTGTGTGTGGTGTGTGTGTGTGTGTATGTGTGTGTGTGTGTGTGTGTGTGTGTGTGTGTGACAGTGATTGTCCTCCCAGGGGGAGGGGAAAAGAAGAGGATTCTACTAGAAATTTAGAGAGGCGAGAGCGTAGGTTTCTTGTGACGCAATTATACTCACTACTCTGAAGTACCGAATAAGCGTCCCCCCCCCCCTTTTATTAATTTTATTGGGTTTTTTTGCCCAACCCGCCTCTGTCTCCATATTCCATACCCCGTTTATTATTTTCCAGCTTGCCACGACCGTCGATCATGTGAAACATTAAATCTAAATTCTTAAAGATGAAACTAGTTTATTTCTAAATTGGAAATGTTGTTACAGTGACCTACTAAAATCACAAAAATTTCATGATCTCTTGTTCTTTTATTCACTGAAGGAGAAATAAAACAGATTTGTTCCCAGTCAGAAGAACAGGGGTATGAGGTTGAATGTGCCACCCCCCCCCCCTTTTTTTCCAACCCCTCCCCTTGTTTATTAATAATTTTGGACCACTTATCCACCCCCACCCCCTTTTTTTTTTTTTTGGATTCTTATACCCCACCCCTTTTATTCGATACTTTAGAGTTGGTGGTAGAGAGTCTTTGGTAAAGACTCAGAGGCGTCAGGAGAAAGAATCACAGACATTCACAGAAACTGAGAGCAAGCGTGTCAAACTAGTCTTTTTTTCTTTCTCCAAAATCCCCATTTCGAGCCGGACGAGTCGAACAATAATATAAATACATGTATAAGATTATGTACATGTACATGAAATGTACAACAATGTACACACATACAAATAAAGCATTTAGTGTACATAGGGTACATAACAGTACGTGTATTTCGTAGAAATTTTGACAGGCCATAATTTTAAGTAGGCCTACACTAAGTGTACACCATCTCTGGTGTACTCACATAGATCTACACAAAGTGCATTAAGTGTACAGTGTACATAAGCTACCAAGTGCATTCGCTAACATTTTTATACGTCCTCTAAATTTGAATTTATTAGATCTATTAATAAGGTAGCAAACATTACTGTTTGAAACCGCCTCTGTTTTCTGCTGCTGCTCACCTGTGACAACGAGCAACTATTTTTGTAGCTCTCAAAATTCGAAGTACGGTCAAGGTGAGGTAAAAACTAAGTGAAAAATGTATGATTGACAAGAAATTGCGTATATAT